TGGAGATTAAATTAACTTTTAGAAAGTTTAAGATTCTTTCCAAGTCACAAAGTAGTGGATTGCACTCACTCAATCTAACTCCAAGATCAAACTCCTCTGAAAGCGAAGTATCACTGGGGAGCCTTGAAACGGGACAGATGCACAGAAGTCCTGTCTCCTGAAGGGCTGTCCCCATGGAATGTGACCAGGGAGGTGTAAGACCCTGTCCCAGCCCCTCACTACCCCCAGGCCGGGCCACAGCCTGCACACGATTGACGCTCGGGAACAGCGCGTAGAATAAATGTCCTGCTGGATTTTAGAAAAGCACTACTTTGATAGCATTTTCAATTTCTTCCATTTGCCAGTTTATTGGGTTTTCTATGACTGTTTGAATATTTTAAATGGAGCAACTTCTATTTTTCTAAAAAACTGTTCATTTTATTTAAACTTTCAATTTTATTAGTCCAAGGATCCTCTCACAATATGTCATTTTCACTGTAACTATTGCTTTCTTTTTTTTTAAACTACTCGACACACATAGCAGTGTTTTCTCTGTTAATGAGGCCGGCAAACGGCCTACTTTAGAGACCTGGCATCTCCTCACTCACACAGACTTTCCTTTTCTGCATCCACAGGTGGGGCCAGCAAAGCCCACGGGGGCAGGAACCTTGATTTACAACTGTCCCTGGTACCAGGTCCACTGTCACGTGATCGTGCCCAATAAAAATGCAGCCTAGTGATGCATTCTTGTATTTTTCTCTCATTTGTTAACGTTTCAAAACTGTTTATAGAATGTTTTATACCTTAAAGTGTAAATTTCCACTTGAGTAACTTTGTTCACAGATTTAACAATATTGTAATTCATTTTCATCAACACTGTTCTCTGATTATTCCATTAACTGCATTGGATTTTTTCCCTTTGTTCAAGGAGTTACTTGGCATATTATTTATGTTTAAATACCAAGGTATAATTTCCTTGTCTTTAGCCATCATGGGGACCTGAATTTCTTAAATGGGGGCTAACTGCACCAAAATAGGTTCTAACTAGAGAAGGAATGGAATCCCAAGTTGGGAAATCATAAAATCATAAACTGGATCGCACGTATAAGGATTCTGGAAACCTAACTGATGATGTGGCTAACACACACCCTCTAAACCGTGGTTTGACCTGCCAGGTCACTGCGCTCTTCTACCCTCCTCTGTAGTGAAATCGCTGTCTTTCTACACTTGATTCCCCCGTGTTCACTGCGCCAACTTCGGAGCAGCCGTCCTCTCAGCAGATGAAGCCCCCCCTCTGTGGTCACGGGCCCCTCCCCCAGCCTGGTGCCCCTCCCCCCGCCCCCACTCCGCTCTGCTGCTCGCCTGGTGCTGCTCGCCTGGTGCTGCTCGCTCTGCTCTCCTGCATTTTCCTGGAGCAGTTTTGCTCCAATGAAAATGTCCTTTTTATGTTAATGGTTCCTTGTCTGTATGTCCTTTGTTTATATGTCCCTCTATGAAACAGGAAAGTTGTGAGGATTTTAGGCTGATGTGCAATTTTTTTCTTTCAATAAGCGGACCTCTTCTACCTGCAACTTTGTGACATGTTTTCATAATGAGTTTCACAGCCACACTTGATGTTCTATTCCTGGTGCTTTAATACTATTTAGTTTGTTTTCTACTTAACTTTTTGTGGTTTCTTTAATTTTTTGCTCTCTGGCAACATTAATGCTGATTTTTTACTCTACTAGTGGAACTTGTGATATATTGACATATTTTAAATTACTTTCTCGGTACCTGACTTTCAGAAAATTCATCACTTATACTCACTGTCATTCATGAAACAAGGAAATGAATACTTTTTAAAAGGTATAGGGATCTTACAACCCCCCCCCCCAATGATGGTACTTACTGATCTGCACTAAACGTTTTACGTCACATCATTTAGGCTGAAGGTTGGGACTTGGTCACTAAATCACACACATTTTGTTTAGAGAAGAAGGCATCTAAGAAAGCTTTCTACCTATGATTCAAAGTCCATGGGCAATTTTTAAAACACTGGTGAACATGCAATGTGCTAACTTTCATGTACGGGGAAGGAACACCCGTGCATCTGCTCCCCCGTATGAAAGATGGGTCTGAGTCAGTGTGCCTAGCTCACGTGTTAGCAGCGTGCCGACGTCTGCCGCAAGCAACACGGCAGACTAGGTTAAGTCGGTGCCCCTGACAAAAGCCATTTTAAAATTATTCAGAGGCTGGGTAAAGCGTAAGCTACAGATCTTTTATAACACGCTGCTGGGCTTAGCAGTACGGAAGGAGCCCACAGGAATCTGAAGGGAAGAATATAAAGGAACCCCGCGAGGCAAACCCCAAACTGGTTTTTCTCCAGTGTAGCATCCAGAGCCTAGATCAACAGACACCCCTCAGCAAAGCTGCATGGAGACAGGGGACAGGACGGAAACCTGGGCCGGCTGCCCATGGGAGTCTCGAGAAGACCCTGTGCTCTGGCCAGGCCGGCAGAGGCTCAAGGGCAGACACACGCCCAGCTGTGGGGTGGGACAAGGAAACCAGGGCCTCCGACCTCACCGCGGGAGGCAGAACGGCGATCTCTGAGGAACCACACTGAGCCTCCCGTGGACGGGGACTGCGACCTAAACCACTGCGGTCTGAAAAGGTCTAAGATCATCGAACTAAAACTGCCTTGGACCGGCAGAGCTTCCCTGGGTGACCGGCAAACAAGTGTCAGCCGCGTCCTGTGTCCAGGATAGACACTTCCACATAGGCCTCGAGAACACCCATTTCTGAACGGTCCGAGGAATAACAGGATGCACAGTTTTTAAAAAAGGAAAACATAAAACACACGAGCAAGCAAGTCACCATCTGTGCAAGATTAATGAAATAAAGCCAGGATACTACAAATTCAGAAAGCGTATAAAGCAATATAAAAGATGTATAATTAATCTATTTCAAGGAATAAAAGGTAAGTTCAGGGAATGAACAAAACTATAATGAAGGGTTGAGACAGACTGAAAACCACCAAAGAGGAATCACTTTACTGTCAATATTCAAACAGATAACACATATCAACCTGAACCTCTGCCCAGCAAAGGTGTCTTCGGGGCAAGCAGTGAAATGAGGACAGACTCAGACGGACAAAAACCGACCTTCGCGCAGCAGATTCTTGTTATGGGGAAACCCCACAGGGCAGAGAAATGGCTCCAAGTGGCAGAGCTGAGAGCAAAAAGAAAGGACAGCCCAGTGGGGTCATGTCGATGCAGCTGAAGCAGCACTCGGAGAACTCAGGACCTCAGACAGTGGGTCTTCTCCCTCCCCACAGACACCCCAGGTCAGGGAGCAGGAAAGCCCTGGCTACGGCCCACGTGGGAGACGCAAGTGGAAAAACACAGTAACTAGCCCAGAAGTTACCTCCCACGGAGGCAAGGTCTCTGCTTCCCAGAAGTGCACACTCCGGTGAAAAGGCCAGGTGAGCACACTGGCACAGGAGTGACGGACAACTCCGTGGAGGAGGGAGTGTGCAACACTCGTGTGCAACACACTCCCACGAGCAGCCGCCCCCATCCCACCACCGCCAGCGAGGGCCCCCACTGCCCTCAGAGCAGGAGAGGCTGGCCGGAGCGGCAGTGCCCGCTTTGGGGCCCACACCCCGTCCTTCTGGGGACCAGCCAGCAACACCGAGTCTGAGATTCAGGTTTCAGTGGGGTTCGGCGGGAATCTGTGGGTCCGGTTTGGCTTGTAGACCACAGTGGCTGATGGGAAGGGGCGGTGATTCCAGCAGGCTCACATGGTCAACCCCACGGGGGCTGGGGTGTCAGGGAAGGAGTCATGGAAGGCGGCCCATGACAAGAAGCTCATCTACGTGGCAGTAAATTTTAAGAATGCAAATTATACAAGAATTTTCTAGAAGGACTAATTCTTTCCTATTTCTGAATAAAAATCCAAAACATCAGAAATTTTTAGGATGGACAAGAAATAGTGAGATCTACTTGTTACCGCAGCATCTGAGACGTTTAAAATCGCCCCCGTGCGGCGAGTGTAAAGGCCCCCGAAGGGCCGGGGGAGATGCTGGGTGGACGCGGACCTGGACGAGGACAGGCCCTGTCGGTCCTGTAACGAGTTCCTGCAAAGCCAGGGAAGCGAGGCTGGGGAAGCGCAGGGGCCGCCCACTAGAATCAGGAACCCAGCCACGGGGTGCTGCGTGGCCACCCTTCCCAGGTCTCTGTCCCGCCCCCGTTCGCACAGTGTGAGCAGCAAACGCAGGCGCCATGTGGCCAAGGTGCACCTCTGATCTCGAAACACTGGCTAACACCTAAGACGTGCACAGCGTAAGTTTGCCAAGTGAATTCAGACAACCCCTGGGCTTTACGTATCTGAGCGGTGAACATGTGTCACCGGCTCAGGTTATTAGTCGGGAAATATGTCTTTTCAACACCGTAACAAAACTCAAATGCCAGTAACTGAGCGTCTTCAGTGTGCCTACCCACGCGTGCCACCTTTCACAGCGGGCTGCGCCTGCGGCAGGTAGACCAGCCTGTCCCCCGGAAGGGGGATGGGCACGCTGGGGCCACCCCTGAGGCCCCCACCAGGAAAGGGTCTGAGGACCACCCAGGCTCAGGGCGCCCCCCGCCCCCGCCAGGCACTCCCAGGCCTCGAAGAGTCGCCTTCCAAAACCGGAAAACACATTAAAAATGCCGAACCTCTGTTCTCATCTTATCCCACTGCAGATGGTGTGTCCAGAGGGCACGTACTACCCACAGGGTTGCAGTAACTTCTCCACAAACGTGCGAATGTAGCAATGCCATTGAAGACAGACGAACACCAGCCGTAATCAAACAATCCATCCATTACAAGATTTTAAATGTTGCCATGTTGGTAAAATGCTTGGCTGATAACAACCACATATAGAAAGAAATTACAACAAGGTGATTTTAAAGTGCTTAATTACAATATGTCTACTAAATTATTAACGCAATAGTTTATCTTCTTTAAAAAGCTTGTAACACCAACATCTAAACTTAGATACTTACATTATTGCACTCTCCAAGGAAATACAGTGCAAATCCATCAGCTTTGGTGGCTGCCAAGGTAATAAAAGAGGAGAAACTGGTCTGAATAGCAGAACGCAACACGCACGAATTCTCTAAGGTGCAACCTCAGATGTGGGTCTTTTCGGTGGATGTGTTAACACAAAACAGTCATGCAGTGAATTGAACAAATTCATTTACGGCTTTACTGAATTACATAGTTGAAGTATTTCCATTTATTTTGATCAGCTATTGCAAATTTTAAGATATGACCACCTCAAATCATACAGCAGCCTGTGCACTACATAATAATGTGTCAAATTTTAAAATCAGAATTATTGGAAATTATTTTTTAAATCTGAGAATTGTATTTAATTTTTAAAGTAATAAATCTCTTAGAATTGATACTCATAATTCAGAATAACCAATATAAGTATCAGCCAAAAAGAATTACGCTTACATCTACCCATCACTACTGAAGAGAACAAAAATTTAACCTTCCCAAAACTGCTTCCAGGTCGTCGGAAGGCAACTGCCACAGCAGCAAATAGGGTAAGTCACGAGGAGTGGCCGGACGCACACCCAGCTTCTCTGCACCTTGTGGCTCAGGGAAAGACATCTGGCCTATCTGCCACAGCATTCAGATGGCAGTCATACAGCTGTCCTCTCCCCATTTAAACTTACAACGCTTCTTCCTTAAAAATTAATGATTTTTCACATACATGTGGATTTAGTTCACCAAAACTTTACAAAGAAAACCAGGTTTTGATGAGAAGGCATAGTACTTCCATTAAACATGAAGTAGATACTTTTTCTGGAATTCTGGCAGGTTCGCAATAAAATACTTTCACTCCAGAGCTGGAACAGAAGGAGAAGGCAGCATTCACGTGCCCTTAGCAGGTGCGCGCTCTTCGCCATCTGCCGCGCTGAGAGGCCCCGCCCGCAGGCGCCAGGCCGGCTCACCTGACTTGATGACGCTGCTGAGCTCGTACAGCAGCAGCTGGTTGTCCCCGCCCGTGTCCAGCCGCTGCTCGATGTAGCTGTTTAGCTCATACACGACGCCCTGCATATTCGTATCTTGGTACTTTGAATAAAAAAAATAAAGGGCATAATTAAATAAAGTAAAATAAAAATCCCTTAGTTTGTAAAACATGCTGTGTTTGACTTTACACACTAGCTCCTCCTTAGGCTTTTATAGAGCATGATTTGATATATTCCACCATAAAAATAGATTTCTAATTAAAATGGCAGGCTTACTTCGAGTCATCTATAGATTCTACAAATGCCTGTTTATATTAAATATCAAATGTTACAAATTTTAACACTGTTCCTGAAGTTTTATATATAATGTAGCAAACAACTTAATCTGTAAAAAAAGTACAAAAATTTGCTAGGCGAAATATCCTAAGATGTTAGAAAAAGCCAGCCTGCTCTGGCTGGTGTAGCTCAGGAGATTCAGTACTGGTCTGCGAACCAAAGGGTCGCTAGTTCAATTCCCAGTCAGGGCACGTGCCTGGGTTGCAGGCCAGGTCCCCAGTATAAGAGGCAACCGAACTGACGTTTCTCTCCCTCCCTTTCCCCCTCCCCTCCCTTTTCAAAAAATAAGCTGTCAGGCTTGCCTTCCTGGGCGTCTCGCCCAAGCACAGCCCCTGTGAACTTGAAAAATAAGCAGCATTCTGTGGCTCCCAGCCTGCAGAGCTCCCGGGCTCCCCCTCGCACCCCGACTGACAGAGAAGCCGCGCGGGGCCCATTTCCCCTCCACACGACGTGGGGGTTTTTCGCCTCGGAACCAGTTTCAAGCCATCCTTCTCTTTCTTGACCACTCGGATCTCTCTCTCCTAAAGGTCTGTGACTTGCTGAATTACTTGCTGTAATTCTCAAGACACAGATGTGGAATTTGAATAAATAAACATAAGGATGGATGAACCAGCAGCCCACTTCACAAATATACACGGGCATTCCGGACGATCTGTCCCACAGAGGCACTCCGCCAGCACAGGGGACACGAGCGAGTGAACGAGACTCGTCTTCGGAACCATCTCGTCCGATTCTGAAGAAGCTGGGAGAGGATGCGTGAGCGAACCATGTCGCGGGGGAGAAGGCGCCTGGGGGACACAGAAAGTGGGGCGGGGAGGGGGAGGGTTCCTCTCTCCAACCAGACCAGGGAAGAGAGGCTGGGTGACACTCGACATAGGGACAGACACAGGCGGTGTGCTGATCCACCCCCAGCTGTCCTGGGGGGACTGCGGGTCCCCCGCCTCCCTCTGTGCTCCTGTCCTATACAGGGACCCAAGCGCAGGCGGCCCCAGGAAATGAAGTGTGGAGGACGGTGTGTGGGGGCCCCACACCAGAAAGCAGTGGGAAGCAGGGTAACTGGGGACGGGGGCACAGGCCTGACGGGGCCGCACCAAGCAGGGACCCTGCCCCCGGGCTCAGGAGGGTTTTAGATGCTCATCTGGGAGACTGGCCCTCAGAGTCGGGCAGGATTCCCACAGTGGAGGGTCCCCACCTGGGAAATCCGGGATAGCTCTCCACAAAGAGCACACAGAAAAAGGCCCTTCCTGGGACCGGAGCGGGGGATGGAGGCCAGATGTCACCATGTCTTCTGGAGAGAAAACCCTGTCACTCCCAAGTGAGAACCAGAAGAGGTGCAAAGGGCGTATCGGGAGGGTCCCTTAAGCTGCATCTCTGGGCTCTGGCTTTCTCGTGTGTGGAGTGAGAAGGCGCAAGTATGTGGTCTTTTAAGTACCTTTCAACGCTAGCTACAAACAGCTATGACCCTCATTTACATTGTTCAAGCTTCAAATGCTTATCTTTAACCTAATACACCATTTCCTCTGATTACCAATGAAATGCATAAATAACATAATTGCAGAATGTTTTGTTATAATTACTCTTCATGTTAATGTAATGCCCTATAAAATGAAGAATTACATAAATAAATGTGAACGAATGAGCCGAGCTGCTACCCCGGGTGCTGCTGGGACAGGAGAGGCAGATGGGACACAGGGAGGCATGTGTCCAATTGTGCACTTCTGAGATGCTGTTGTGAAAACGTCATCACGAGAAAAGCTTGCCGAGGGGTCAGTTCAGTTACGTAAACTTTCGAGTCTGTGGCTTGAGTACCAGAAATTTATAACAGCATATTAATGGTGTTAAGAACTTGCACTTTCAAAGCATTTTTAATTAAATGTACAGGGGTGACACTGGTCAATAAAGCCACACAGGCTTCGAGCGTACAGTTCTCTGATCCTCATACTGCACTGTGTGCCACCACCCAAAGTCAAGTCTCCTGCCCCATTTGTCTGACCGCTTGACCCTGCCTTGACCCTGCCCTGCCCCAGCCCTTCCCTCCTCGGTGCCCACCGTCAGCCTCACAGAGCCCTCCCACTGCCTTCCCTGTCTAGGAGTGCCCACCTGGGGCACTAGGGGTGTGGAGCACACCTGCTCCATCCCTCCCTTGGCTTCAGCGGAGCCCCGAGGCAGGAGGAACTGAGCGGGGACCGCTCCTCAAGCCTTGGGACCAAAGTGGATGCCGAGACCCTCCTCTCTAGACCTCGATGACTTGCAGAAGCCCAGCTCTGCCTTAGGGCACAACTACCAAAGAAAGGGACTCACAAAGACACAGCCCTCGGAAAGGACTCAGGGTGTGACCTCTGTCCACTGTGCTACTGGTGGCTGTGTTTCTCAGGAAACACCGGTGCACCCTGTCTGCTGTGACGCCTCAGGGCATGGGGAGCGGGGCGTGCAGAGGCAGGGCCCGGCCAGGGTGTCTGTCACCCGAGGGAACCCTTTATGTGAGACTGGGGAGGGCTGGTCTGCCCAGACTCACCGAAGCAAAAGACCTCCAAACGCGGGGAGAGAGATGCTTCGCCCAGGGAGGTCAGCCGGGCAGCAAGAGGGGTGGAAGCCTGAGTGACATGCACACCAAGGTCTGCCACCCCAGGGCACCTTGGGCACCCCAGGCACCCCAGGTCTGCAGGGTGTCACCCTGATACCTGGGAAGCCACAGCACGCACTCAGGGAAACATCACAAGGTGGTGTTACTTTGAATAAATGCTTATATCACATGCAAAACAGCCCTCAGTTTCCAGCAGAAACCTCAATAACTAAATAGTATCTTCTCATCGTTGCTTAAAATTGCCCCACCTTCTCCTGTTGTTCTGTAATGTTCTATTCTGCCATGACTTCAGATGCACAGAGAACTGCAAAAGCAGCGCAGGAAGCTCCTGTGCACTGTTGCATCCACTGTACCGTCCTCTCAGCACCTCGTCCGTCTCCCCTCCTTCCTTCACTTCTCTCTCTCTCTCTCTCTCTCTCTCTCTCTCTCTCTCTCTCGCCTGTTACGGTAAAACTCCAGGGCTTGCTTGTCCACATTTTGCAACCCACCATTTCCCTGATCTACCTCCAACTCACTCTAGTCACACCAGGGTCACAGCTGTCCCTGAGGTCACTGGTCCCGTCCACTGGGCCAGGGCCAGAGGTCTCCCTGATGCCCCCAGCCTCTGACACAGCCAGCACTCTCTCCCTGGAGCGTTCCTCCACCACGAAGGGGATGCACGTGGCCCTGCGTCCACCTGCCTCGGGGACGTGGCCGGTCAGCACTGCCGGTCGGCCTTCTCTGCGAGTCTCCTTCGGAGCTGCACGGGTCAGCCAAGCCCCAGGTGCTCTCTGCAGCCCCCCTTCTCCTTCAAACCCCACCCACTCCCAGGTGCTCTACACACCTGCTATCTGTACATGATTCTTAAATCACCCATACTGCTAAAAACTCTCCTACTTCTCTATCTCTAAATCACACTGTTCCCTCTGTGCTTGACTGACCATCCAACTCCTGAACGTCTCCATTCGGAAATCTGTCTGGTGCCCCTAACTCAGCGCCTCCCAACCGAGCCCGAGTGTGAGCATGGAGACCTGCCCTCCTACACACACTCTGCTCCAAGTCAGGCAACCCCTCCTCCGTGCTGGGGCCAGACCCTGACCATCATTTCTCCTTCCTCTCTTTCTTCAACCACATGTCCAATCAACACATGTGAACGCTGCCTTCCGAATGCACCTACAAGTCCCTCCGTGGGACCCAGGGACTGCCCCACCTCCGGTGTCACCACCCTGGCCCACACCCACTCGCCCTTCGCAGGACTGCCACCTGCCGCCACTCGTGGCAGGAGAACCCAGTCTCTCAGAGCCGCTGAACTGCCTGGCTTCAGGCTTCTGAGCGCACGTCCGCACTGGTAAAGCTGGTGACAGTGTTTCTACTCTGTACAGTGCACTAACTTTTGTGCCACGAACAACTTTCCTCTTGGGATGAGTTCTTTTCCTACCTTTTGACATACATACTGTCTATTATGTAGAAGATTTTCATCTTCAATGTCCAGTGGAATTATTCAATAGAAGATTTTGGGTATCATGACATTTTAGGTTCTTTCTTATTAAGCTTTTCAGTTTTTTCATTGGTTATCAGTATATTTAGACCCCTTAACTCTTCTTCAATCAGTTTTAATGATTTACAACTTTCTCAAAATTGACCATGTCCTCTAAATCTTCAAAAACACTTGTGTGTGAATACATATCGTATTTTTATAAATTATTAGCAATCGTCCTATGTATAGCCATATTCCCTTTCTCATTCTTTAATGTGTGTATTTTCGTACTTCTGGAATGGATGGACAGAGATAGTCCATTTAACTGACCTATTCACGGAAACACCTTTGCATTATTAATCAAGTCTATACTTCAACTTGTGAGCCCTTGATTCCTTCCCTTACAAACTCTTCCCCTCTCTTTTTCGGAGTTTAATTTTAGCACTCCAAGTGACTGTAAGATATAAATTTCACCCTGTTTCGTCCCTTAGGTCCAGTAGACTTGCCCCCCTTTTTACAGTTTGGGCTTTGAAAGCTATTTTTCAGAAGATGACCCAGATAAATGCAGGGAGAGCAGAAATTCAAGTCTCAGCGCGATTACACGGCACCAGAGCGACTCTGCTACACGTGTCACAAAACACGCAGAGACACGATTTACACAAAAGGAAGTAGCTACTTCACAGGTGGGATTATGCCTGGTTGCTTTAGATAAAAATATTTAGACAATGTCAAGCCATTTACAGACAAGATGATTATTTAATTGGTAATTTATTTGGGTTAAAGCGAAACTTTAAACTGGAAGAGTAATTTGATAAACCCAGTTAGCAATGTGTACTATAAGCCATAAAATATCCATAACCTTTGACCTAGTAACTTCAAGCCCTAGCATTTTTCTTTAGGAAACATTTCTCAGGAATAAAACTGCTAACACAGAAAAACATTCAGTCTACAAAAAATAAGAAACGATCTAAAGACTCAACGACAGAGAGAGAAAGTAAGAATGCTTCACACAGAAACTCAATGGAGTTTCCCACGACTGCCAGGAGTCACGGAGGCAGCGCTGGACTGCACGGCACCATGGGACACCCGTGGTGCACAGGGCAGACACACGAGCAGCACAGGCACCCGAGTTATTGCCACATGAGCCCCTGGGAAACGAGGGCCAAAGGAAACGCTCCCGCTATTACTGACTGGGTCACGGTGACGCCACTGTCATCTCAGGAACGGCGTTCTGCCATTTCAATGACTGTACCAGTGTCAGCAGCTCTGGAGGAGCCAAGTGAGGACGGGCCAACCGCAGAGGCGACAGGAGAGCAGGACCCGCAGCTGAGGACCAGCAGCGGGACCTGCTGGAGCCATGGTCTGACACAGACAGGCGAGCACAAGGGGCTCGGGTGGCCCCCCAGGCCATTCCGGAGCGAGGGCAGACTCCCGGCAGACAAGCTGAGCAGCTGCTGCTCCCAGAGAAGCCAAAAACCTGGGGGGCGATGCCTGCTCGGGGTCTTCGGGCTCAGCCCTTTTCTTTCCAAGTCACTCCTTCCCTTAAGGGAGCAAAGCCAAGCCGTTTCTCAAACGGACCCATGAGGAAACCCTGGAATCCTGCAACCTCCTCCTCAGATGGGGCTCAAGGGTACCTCATCCCCTGACGCAGCCGTGGTGCCCGCCTCGCGGGGAACGTCTGTCCCAGGGCTCTCCTCCCTTCCGAGAGACGGTGTCTTTGCCCTGTCCCTGCCTGGGCCTCTGCAGCATCTGAAGAGCAGACGTATCACGGATTAAGAAAATCCTACCGTTCAACCCCACGGGGTCCAGCACTCTCTACAAAATATGTTGTTAACCAAAAGAAATTACAAGTTTCAAAGTCATGAAGTTGTACAAATAAACACAAAAGACCCGAATGGCAGGGAGAAAATTCCGTGTGTGCGGTCACCAACAGATTCCACGGACGCGGCAAACGCTCCTCCCTCCACTTCTCCCCTCTGTGGGAAGTCGAGCGCTGGGCTCCCAGTGCGGCTGGACGAGCCCTGACTCCACTGCTGTTTGGGGACCAGCCCTTAAACAGAAGTCCTGCACCCTCAGCTTCTCACTATCACCAAGCAGTATGACCTTGACCAAGTAAAACCAGACTCTGGGAAGCAAAAACTTGATCTCCAATGTTGAGATAAAGAAATAGAAAAAAAGGGAAACAGACAGAGACACAGAGAGAGATGCTCCCAGGCACTGACTAGCGTGGCCACCCCAGGCCGAGGGACTGCGTCCCCAGGGCCCCCGGACACACTACGCTGTGAATGCAGGACCGGCCGCCCTCCCCCGTGGCAGGCTTCCTCCACCAAGCCCTCCCTGGTCCCTGGGAGCCACCACGCCTGTCGCCAGCCCTCTGTAACCCCGTCCTTCACTGCTGTGCTCTGAAGTCTCCCTGCCGTCCCAACAGACGGAGGCCCCCACCTGCAGACTGCACAGGCAAAGGAGACTGCACAGGCAAAGGTGTCCAGCAGGCGAACGTCTTTGCCAATGCGGTAAGAAGCATTTTACAAATCTGGACAGAAGACAAGTTCTCCCAGGAAAAGCGCAGTTAGAATTCTATGACTTGCCCTGCCTCACTTTATTAAATAACCAAAAAAAAAGCCAAGAGAAATGGGGCCACTGTGGCCCCATGCCATCAAGTTCAAAGCAACCTCACTGGAGGTACAGATGAAACCAAACTGAGGAGACTCGCCACGCCTTGCTCACAACGCTCCCTCCCACAAACCGGCACTGTTGCCAAAGTCAGTAATGACACTCCCGGGCAGCAGAGGACACTGTCCCCTCCCTACCTCGCTGGGCCCTGAGGGTGAGTCCGCACCCTCCATGCAGCAGGCCCTGCATTTGTAGCAGCAGCACCGAGCAGAAGCCCAGGCCACCTTGGGGCTCCCGGGCAGGACCTGGAGCTCAGCCCCCACAATCACCACAAGAGGGGCACGGTCCTGCGCTGCCCCACCCCGGGAGGTTGAACACACACCTAGGGGCCAGCAGGGCAAGCCACCTCCATCGGCCCTACACGCTGACTGAAGGGCACACCACTGCTCTGCTCCCAGACCCAGGGGGCACCACTGACCCCACAGCTGGCCTTGCCACCCAGCACCTAACAGAAGACCCGTCATTGAATTTACATCCACAGTGAGTCAAGGGCAGGGAACCCTAACTACACACACAAGCCTCACACCACTTCAAGATAAAACACATTAAAAAATAAATCAACAAATGACCTCCCAACATATACAGCAGCATTACCAAAAAAAAAGAAAGAAAGAACAAAAAACATACCCAAATACACAAGGTGTTAGTATTATATGTGTATACCCAGGATAAAGCTAATTTTACAGGTGAGATAATATATGCAAAATTTTAGCAAAGACTCTGCTTTGCAACCTCAAAAAATTAAAGAGTTGACAGTAAGAAATTACCAATTGACATCATAACATAGACTGAAATGAAGAGAAAGCACCAAAATACAGAAGCAAGCCTAATTTAAAAGAGCCGCTGGGAATCTGAGTAGCGTCAGCCCGGAGCAGAAGCGGAACTAGGCTGCAGGTTCCAGAGCAAGCACACGAATCAAACTGGGTCCCGGGCAGCAAACAAAAGCATCCTAGATTAAAGTGACTTTTCCCATCGCCCTCCAGGACCACCACATCTGCACTGTTGTGGACTGCACGGTGAGGCTGAGAGCTCAGGCGCACCCTGGAAGCTGAAGCCAGTCTGGTCTCTAAAGAGTATGGACATGTGGCTCTTCTTCCTGCCACCGAGGCGCTCGCCCACCGCTGCTGCAGAGACCTGGGGCAGCGGCGTGGCCGGCACTGGCCCCAGCATCTGCCCCATGCACCCCTGTGAGAACCCTCCCTTTATCTTCAAACGTCGTCACCTTCAGCCCAGTGGGCTGCTCCCAAGAGCCGCAAACATTTCCAGCTGACCCAGCCATCCCTCAACACTACATGAAGCATGAGAAAGTCCCCAAGGACGTGAAGTTAGCGAGAGGCGCCCAGTTAGACCCAGAGAGGTACAGAGAACTCGGCACCGACTAGGACAGAGGACATTCTGCCCAGACGCCAGCAAAGACCCTGGTGACATTAGAGACTCCTTTCTGCACGTAACCAAAACTTCGGGAGTATCTCCATAGGCGCGATCACAGAGGCACCCTAGTTACAGCTTATGATAAGGAGTGTGTGATCTCTCACACACGGTTGCGTCAGATGCAATCCAGACTAATTATTTTCAATATTCGATCCACTGTAAGGTCTTTATCGGCATGCAGGACATACAAAATGTGTTTCACACACAATCAATCGTGCTTGTGCGGCACCTAACACAGTACACTGATGCTTTCGGCGCTTGTTCCCCGTGAGCTCTCGAGTCCGCTAAGTCTCTCAAAGTTAACGCTGAGTCTTCTCTTGGACACAAAAGCAGCTCATTTAATATTTCTGTAAGGGACAGAAGCTCACGTCTTGGATACCCAAGGGGTTGCCCTTTGTCCCCCCCACAGAGGAGGTGCCTGGACTGAAAGGCAGGGTCAGCCAGTCACACACACGACTGAGCCTCGGAGCGTGGGCCGTGGGGAAGGTGACGGCTGCTTCACAGCCTGGGCAACAGCTGCTACACGGGAAGGCAGCAAGGCGTCGCCTCAACCCTGGCTTTCTTTCCACAAGCCCGGGACCCCATCTTGCTGCGCAGTCTCACGATTTCTACATGCTGGCAACTACTTCAGAAAACCCCTCTTGCTGGGTCAGTCCCGAGGCTCCACACTGCAACCGCCACGCCCACCGACTTGGTTCCACAGCAATGAGTGACATGGGGGGAAGGCGCTCGGCTGCTGTCATCGGCATTCTGACACTTTAACACGTCACAGCCCCAAGATGCACACGACAGGACTTAGCTCCTGTCGGCTGACAGCAGAGATCATACTCACGGTACTCACCCTGCTGACTTCCTTAGGCGCCGTCTCGTCTGGGGGAGGGAGAAGGAAGGGAAAACACAGTTAGAAACTCGGAGCAGGTCAGAACACACAACGCGTCATCACTCTCAACACAGCACAGGTTCCTCTGCAAAGCTTCTGCTTAAGAAATCTAGAATTTAGTTTTTTAATCCTGTAAAAAAAAAATCACATGACAAACCCAGAGCTACATGTACATACTAATTCTGGAGGGACATGAAACAGCACAACTTGCTAGTCATTTCCAGACTGTCTGTAAACGGCTGGGCCTGCCAATGCGGCCGCTCCACGGCTTGCTCACACACACGTGGACAAAGAAAGCTCTGTGACACCTGCAGTGTGAGTTACGCAACCTGCATGGACGTCCCGAAGGCCGCAAGGGAAATGCCAGCACGTACTTGCTGAAACACACAGTCCCCGTGTGGCACCCTGGCAGGCACAGTGCCGCCCTGGACCACAGGCCCGGCGGGGGTGGGGCATCCGTGCCAACTCGTCAGCACCAGGTCCTGGTACGGTGAGACTGATGGGTCACAGTGGTCCAGGAGAGACCGGCTGAAGGGCTCTCCCTGTAGGGCTGGCCGCGTGGCAAGAACATCACTGTGTGACCAACGGGGCACAGGAAACGAACTGACCACGACTCCACTTGCGGCCCCTCGGTTCTGACTGCCCCATGCCCTGGTCACTGGTTCCAACCCAAAGAAAGTGTGTCTGTGAGGCCTCTCCAGTCCCCTCCGGGGAGACGGCCTTCCCTCCGCCACCGCCGCTGCCTGCGTCTCGTGCAGCAACCCAACCCCGCCCAAGGCCAGCACTGGCGCACACCTCTCAGGCCCAACTCCAGGCCCACTGCGTTACCCCCAAGCACAGCCGGGCTGGTCTGCACAGCGATGAAACACGCCCCACGACCTCAAACAGGGGTGTGGTTCTTCTTTCTCTTTCAACAGCCTCACTCCCTAACCACCGGGCCTCCTGGTTCCTATGTTCTCTAACCTTTCTCGGACTGACTGCTCACCTCCCATGGCCACACCACATTTGCCCCAAACCACCTACCAACCAGGAGCCTCCAAGCTCATATCCAAATCCAGGATCTGCCCAGACAGCCATGCCCCCACACACATAACACACACACTCACACAACACACACACACACAGCACGTGCGTAAGAATGGTCATACACAGGTATGTACACACACACTCTCACCCACCCACCACGCCACTCCGCTGCTGCAGACACTCGGTGCACTGCGTGTCCACCCGGCTCTGCACGGACTCCCCGGGAGCCTCCGCCACTCACCAAACAGGGACAGGTGTCCGGCAGTGAGTGTCCAATGAAAAGCACCTCTAGTGTGCATTCTGTTATTAGACACAGTGGCTTACACATCTTTCTTATAATTCTACAGTGATTTAGTATTGTCGCTGACATTCCTCAGAATAAGTGTGTTATAGGAAAAACACTTCTCTCCACATTAACAAAGGCACATCACAGGCAGTTCGCTCACTCTTCAATCCCTAACCTCTCACCTACCCTAAACTTCCCTGAAGATGCAACTATTTGTTTTCATCACCGCAACAGATTCATTAAGATTCTGAAGTTAAAGAGGTGTGTATGTTTTCAATCCCTTTAAAGTTTTTAGCTAAGACACTCAGCGAGACAGCTGGAAATCCAGGTGAGCGAACGGCAGGTGTGAGCAGCAGCAGGGGTGTGAGCAGGTCCCCGCCAGCGCTGAGGCAGCCACCAGCTGCGACGGCGAACGGCCTGCTCCCCGCTCAGCGGTCGGGGTGAACGCCAGCTCTTGAAGGGGAAGAGTCTGATGTCCAGACATCTGTGTAAGTGTTCTTTTTGCTCTGCTGACATGTATTTATAAAAAACTTCTTTTTTGCCTAATGTATAGTTTAACATACTTGAAAGAATATTTTAGCTGAATTCCAGATTCTTCACCATATGCACTGATTTAGAAATGCATCCTCTATGTCTTCCTCCTACTTAGATGTCAGATAATTTTTGTGAAATGAATGTCAAACCCCCTGCATTTGGAGAACTGCTATTTCAGCTGAGGACATTAATGACCACGGTGAAAAATTCACCCGGAGGGACCCCTGCTTCCTGCTTCCTGCTTCCTGCGTGAGGAGTCCTCCCTCGGTTGAGGGCTCTCGCCCCAGGGACACTGGGACAGATCGAAGAGCTCGTCCCATTCCTCCCCCCGGTGGGTGGCACAGCGAGGAGCACCGGGGAGGCTGCGTGTCAGCAGCTGAGACCACGGACTGCGTGTGCAGCCCAGAGCGGCGGTCACGCAGAGCCAAGGCAGCTCCTCTCGCCACCTTTTAAGTCTACAGTGAAACGATGTCCAGACAATGCGATCTGACACTGAAAACTTTCTTCCACAAAGACACTTTCAGAGGAACGGAGAAGAAACGGGCTCCGGTCTGCACACGCGCTTCCTGACTCTGTGCAGACCACCCCGGGGGCCGGTGAAGACCCCTGACCCTGGGTGTCTGTCCACTCCCAACACGCACCCGGGACTGGCCTGCTGGCGTGCCACATGGCTCGGCAGAGACACTCACTCTACAGGAAAGGCCAGGGGACAACGGGAAGGAAGGGAATTACCATGGATACCAGATTTTGAATCATTCAAGAACAATTAATTCGCAACAAAAATGCCCACACAGCTGACACTAATTTCATGCAGCCTAAGGGTTCCATGAACATCTGCTTATTCAGCAAACACCTACTATAAATCCACTGTGCGCCAGACACTTACCCTGCTTTCTAGGAGCTCACATTCCAGTGAGGGGAATAAAAAAGAAAAGAAAAATTAATTTTGGAAGTAGACTATCTACGCTTATTAAAGAGAAATGTATGTTTTAAAAAACCCATCTTAAATCTAAAAATCATTTTAATATTTTTAAAGCTTTAGGAAGCGTAAGAGCTCATGCAAAAAAAAAGAGAGAAAAAAAAACCTTTGTGGACTTCCTAGTAAGTACACCCTTCACAGTAAGTACTTATTCTGGAATATTTTATAAATCTTTATAACAATGCATATGTTTATACTTTCCTTTGTGAGATCACTCTTGATATGTCTTTTATATGAAGTGGGATTTTAGAAATAAATCCAAATTTATAACTAGAACTTAAAGGAATTTATATTATGACGGTTGATTTAAAGTTCAGTGGCTGCTTATAATATTCTTCTGTACTCTGAATTAAGATCCCAGAAACAGAGGAGGAAATTCCACTGAAACTCATATACTTTAGAATTAAAAGGAATTATCACATTTTCTTACAATTTGATCCATAAGGACTACAGACAAAAGTAAACACTATTAAAAGACAAAATGTGAAGAGAAAAACTAGAGTGAACAATAAACTTCTTAGTTACAAGCAATCTAAATGCCCGTTTCAAATGCAGCATCAGCCGCCCTCTCAGCTCAGCAGGCAGCATTGGTCTCACAAAATCAGGCATGAAAGAACTGGAACGGATTTTGATTGATCCGCACAATTCTTAAGTGTTTTTACTCTTAGTTGATGTTTAAACATTTCCTACTAAAACAGAAAGATATAAGTAGGCTTACAATTAAAAAATGTAAATACAACATGATCCAAAAATGCAGCTGCTAAAAATGATGGTGACTGTTTATTTTTGTAATTTAACATAATTTGGTTAAGTTAAAATCAAGGGAAAAGCAGAACTATATATGAGCCTAACGTTGGCTAAAAAATATGTATTAATCTACATATGTATATAAATATACACACAAATTGCTTTAAATTATAAATTTTTCTACAGTATATCATGTCATCTCACAAGCCTGAAATTTTTAAAATGTGCTCATATGTTTTACATGTATGTAAATGTGTGCTAATAGTATCTCTGGGTGGTGAGATCCATGCACATTTTACATGTATGTAAATGTGTGCTAACAGTATCTCTGGGTGGTGAGATTCACACATGCTTTACATGCATGTAAATGTGTGCTGACAGTATCTCTGGGTGGTGAGATGATGTGGCCTTCTCTTTCTTCTCACATTTCTAAATTTTTACAATCACAATAAACTGCAGTAAATTTCAGCTGGAATGCCTGGGTCTCTCCCCCATCTTTCCCAGCCTCCAGCACACGCCTGTGCAAGCATGGAGAACAAAGGAACCGTCGGTGGGAGTGCAGCTGGGACCGGGACCCTGGGGCTCCTCCCAGAGGCAGCCCCCTCACTGCTCCTGCCTGTCCGTGCTGGCCTGGGTACTCCTGGTTTGCAGGCTAAGGCCCCACCCCTGGGTGGCTGCGTCAGCACCGGGAGAGCAAACCCTGCATTGAGGGGGACCCCAGGTGTCTGACGTTCCCTAATGCAAATCACTACCACACTCTAACCAGAGAACATGCCACTCTGGTACAACAGAGAAGAAGGAGCATAAGCAAACACAATTAACAGAGAATATGCAAAGTCAAGTAACAGGAAAAGAACGAAGGAAACTGTCACTGAAAATCCACAATATGAAAACCCAGGATGACACATGTCTCAGTAACCAAAGTAAAGCAGGAGACTATGGGTGATGGGACTTTATTGCTTAATATACAGTAAATGAACTCACACATTACAGATTTCCTTTCCCTCGGCCATGAGTTCTATAGAAAGTAACTCTATGCTTGCCATTTGCTTTATACATATGAAGGTATTTCAAAGTTGATCTTTGTTACACTGTTAAGAAAAAGCTGAAACCTGGTATTAAAAATACTGCACATAAAGTTCTACAATGGTCAAAGCAATCTTGAGAAAAAAGAATGGAGCTGGAGGTATCACACTACCTGACTTTAAATTATACCACAGAGCTATGATAATTAAAACAGCATGGTATTGGCAGAAGGCAGACAGACCTACGAAACAGAACTAAAAGTGCAGGAAAAAAAACAAGTATGTATATAGGCAAATAATTTTTGACAGAGGAGGCAAAAACACCCAGTGAAGAAAGCCACTTCAAGAAATGGTGCTGGGGGGTGGAAATGGGAGGGAGGTGGGGAGCAAGGG